AACGCTTGTTTATCTAAACTTTAACGTTTGTTTATCTTTAACACGGCGTGCAATGAATTCACTATCCTTATCTTTAAGGGCAGATGTTTTTATTTTATTTGGCTTATAATTGCTTACTCTATGTAGTATTTCATCTCGATGTACTCCATCTTTGATATGATTTAAATCAAATGCCTCGTCATTATAATTCGCTTCCGATAGCGAAGAAAGTGACAGAGGTTATTGAAAACGAAAAAATTTCGATTGACAAATTAGTCGGTATTCTCGACACAGCAATTATAGGACGTGAACAGCGGAACTTTGTAACTGAACAAGAAATTATGTCTGTTTATTTATAGAATTTAAGAGAATGTATTATCACATAAAAAATGAAGCAACTTAAACAACTTACATTGAAAGAAATGTTTAATAAAGTAAACAAATAAATATTAAGCTTTTTTTTTTTTTTTTTTTTGTAAATTTTGATACCCTTTAGATCATAATTGTTCTTTATTTCGTAAATTACGGTTTATATTTTTTAATTTTATAATTTCTGCATGCCATTTTACCAGATTTAAACTGATGATCTATAATCCGGAATCGCCGAAGTCCCGACGAGTCCGGATTAACGACTTTTGACTGTATATAAATTTGTGGTCAAGATCACAAATGACTTCATGAATTCACAGGGCTAGATGACACTTTTCAAACTCCAGAAATTAAGGAATGTTTATTAACTATTTTCATTCTTGCAGTTTATAATATGAATTCTTAATATTCCGAATTTACAATGTCCCACTTCGGCTGATGACCTGCCGTAATACAATCATGAGTACATCAACTAATTTTGATCTGTTATTAGAAACTACAGTATCAAATTCTGATTTTGATAGTGAATTAGAAAACCCAGAAGTCAAAAACAATTCCCGAAAATAAAATGAAGTCTCAAAACACTGAACAGTTAACAACTTGTTCACATTTGGCTCCTAGCCAGAACTCGACAACCGCCAGCTCAGATGCTAGTCTACATAAACTAAATCACGAATGGAACATCATGGGTGTTACTAACAGGCATTCAGTACTTCTTTGCATGATTTATGTGATTGTATAATACCTTTTGATGGTTCTGATAATTTTATACAATCTTTTTTTTAAGCAATTGAGAAGAAAATGTCAATGGAATAGAATTATGAATGACATTTACAAGATATCAACAAAAAAATGCTTATCAAACTTTACTAAAACTTTTGTTAGATTCTTTTACAGGGTGACAAAACTTTTAAGGCATTAAAAAAATATTGGTTGGAAGAGTTTTTCTTTAAACTTAATTGGTGCATATTTGCATAAAATTATGCTTAAAAGACATTTAAACCAAATAAATCCTTATTATTTTATTGATACGACAAAAATTGGTTCCAGAGGTAAAATCGCTAATCTTTTATTTTTAATTATATAATAAATGCATTCCAGAAAACCCTAACAAAATTTTATTATATGCTTGTAAAACTAAGTGAATTAAAAGATAAGTTAAAGATTTATGAGAAACCTGTGTCTATTTATAAACAAACTAAATCTTTAAATGATTTGAAACTTGCACATAATAATTCTTGTAACTTAGAGACTAAAACTTCTCAAAAGCCTATCCAACCTATAGGTTTGCTACAATTGTGGGTCTAAGGCCATAGAAGTTCTAATTGTTATCATAAATATTCTAAATGTTTTCCCTTCAATTCATTTGACCACAAATCATCTACTTGTACTAAGAAACCAAGTAGTGCAACACTGCCATCATCACACATATCTCCATCATTAGTTGACTATAATTAACATTCTGACACATAAAGAAACTTGTTCTCCAGGGCTTCAGAAGTTTTCTATATCACTGTCAGGACTTTGTGATCACACTGTACATCCAATAGGCTTCTTTCTTCACGAGTTGCTTCAGAATTCAAAATACAAATTTTAAAAGTGACATTCATGTTACTGATAATAACTTGCTATATGTTGAAGCAATTATTAGAAATGATTGTATGCAACAAGCTGAATTTTCCTTTACAAAATGTGGTGTTAACTTAATAAAAGCACAAACTTCTCAACAATTAACAGCTGAATTCACATCTGAAAAAGCTACACCACAGATATTAGAAAACAGAAGGAAAATGTTAGAAGAATCTTTGCAAAAGCACCTTGATGAGGAAGGATACGTAAAGAAACCAGTAGAAAAACAAGCATTTCTGCTCAGTGTTTAAACCATACAATACAAAGAAAAAGATTGAAGAAGCTGATGCAGATGCTTTATCAAAAGAACAGAAAAAGAAACATTCTAAAGATGTTGATGTCTTGTAGCAAAAATTAGATGAACTTCAGATCATCCTTGATAAAAGCAATAAATTAAAATGGAAACAGCAGTGTGAGGCTGAAGATGGAATTACAGAGCTTGATAAATGAAAGAGTAAAGCATCTGATTTTGAGAAATGACAACACATGTTTGATCATTTGCTTGCAGAAGAGAAAGCTATACCTGAATGAACTGGACATGAGAGGAACAATGCAGAATGTTAAGACAGTAAAAACTCAATAGAGATCTTGAAGAATGTAAAGAACACATAGAAGAACTTGAAGATGAATTACGACTGATAGGACTTCAAACTTAGATTAGAGGTCAATATGCATGCACATAAAGCAGAGCTTAAATGAGATTTACAAGTTATACGTGAAGCAAATTAAGCAAAGAGAAAAATCTCACTAAATAGACTTATGATCTTGAAGCAGAACTAGAATATGAATGCAAGCAACGTGTTGCAGCCATTACTGCAAGGAAAAAGTTGGAGAATGATTAGAAAAATATGAAACAGCAGTTAGAAATTCCCAGGCAATGAAAAATCTTTGAGACAATTGAAAAAAATTACACTCAGATGCAAGATTATCAATGAGAAGCTGAGAAACCCCCATTAGCCAAGCAGAAATTGCTTTACAAACCAAAGAAGCTAAGGGATGGTGGAAAAGGAAGCAGAACTAATTCAACCTCAAGAAGATTTAGCCCATTCTGAAAGGGCAAGGAAGGTTGCAGAAGCTGAAAGAGATGAGTAGCAGTGTAGAGATAAGTAACAGTATATCAAAAGGACCTATCCTAAAATGAAGACTTGCACAAATTCGGCAAATTGAAGAAATGCAAGAAGACCAAAAAAATTCTGAAGCTTTACTAGAAAAAGCTAGGAAATCTCACACACAAATTGAATGCATGCAAGATATTTTCATTCATGTCTTAACCAAGTTATCCTTGCAGGAACCCAAAAAATTGCTTAAATACGTTGCCTCTGTGCAAGAATAGTCAATAATCAATCATCAGACATTTGTAAACAATCAACATCAATCATAAAATTTTTCTAACCAACTACACACTTTGAGCTATATTTTGGCATACAAATGAAAAATAATGAACATATAAAAATGAAACAAATACTTGAAAAGAAGCACTTCCTCGCCTCACTACAAGAAAAAGAAAGATTAAACAGATGTTACTATGACAAGCAGGATAATCAACAAACCTTGTGCAAAGTTTGTCATCAAGTAGTGCTTCTATACATTCAGTTTGGAGTGACAATGAAACTCCATTGAAAATTTTTAGAACCCTATAAAGCCACAAGCTATGAAGTGCAGAAAGCTGGAATACATGAAGATGCCAACAAAATTTCCACAGCTACTGACATAATGAAATCATGCATTTCTCTAAAGTGAACTCCTCATTTACCACACAAATGGTCATCTAATATTTACTACCTAAGCTCTTCAATTCAAGATTTTTTTTCCTTCGTATGATTTTTCATTCTTTTTTATTATTTACATTTTATTAGTTCTTATTACATTTATTGTCTTTTTAAAATTTCATTTAACTTAAGAGACTCTTTCCCCTATCTACACAAATTTGTTTTGTATGTATACAAGACTTATTAAGATGTCAAAACCCCCCAACAAGATGTTTCAGACATGCTCCTTACGATGTTTGAGCATTTAAGATGGTCTGGAGAAAAGACATTTCTCTTTATGTTTTCTTCCTCTAGATGTTCTAAAGATGATCCAATGAAACAAAAAGAAACAATTTTTCATTTCTTTTTTAAATTTCTTTACTTCAGATTCTGCTGCATATCCATCATTCCCAGGAGAACATGTTGCATAAGAATGTCCAACTGTGCATATCAGGAGTGTGACAGAACAACATACTGAAGAGCAAGGCAAGAGCATGATGGGACAGCAGACGAGTGCACGCTTTGATTAAGAGAGGGAAAGTGAAAGACATACCATCACCATTGTCACTTTTTATCTGTACTGTCACTTTTCATTGTAAATAACCATAGCCATTAGTGAATATCACAAAATGTTCAATTAAATAATCTGGTAACACATATTCGCCCCTTCTGGCTACTAAATCGCTACAAACTGAGCCACATACACATGTTGCAATTGCTTTAAATGAGTATTTGCCTGCCACATTTAAGACCTTCTTCCTGAATGACATTATATAGTGTCAAACTTAATACTCCTCTCTATCAAAGACAACAACATATTGCATTAAGTAAGTTAACTTCTCAATTTATATATAAGTAATTATCAGCATTACTCAAATAATGAGTTGCAAAACATAAAATGTGAATAGTTCTTGAAATATAACATATTATAGCAAATAGCATATTATTCTTGAATAATATGCTATTTTATTATATTCAGAGCAGGTCACATATTTTATTGCATTCACAAGCGGATGAATAGAATTTAATATGGAACCAAAGTTTACAGAATAAAATGCTTTATTTAGCACACTTACTGGCACTATATATAACGGAAAAGAATGAACATGACTTAATTGCATTAAGCAATACTATTGTATTTAGAATCATTGATTATATCATTGTATTTAGAATATCAAGAAAGAAGAAATGCTTATTGTTATAAATATATTTTCTAATCCAGCATGTACATGTATATGCTGTTCTTAAGGGAAGGAGAAAAAAGCTGCCACTTACCTTGACTGCCATCCTCGGGTTTTTTACCATTAGGAGTTAACCAAACAATGCTTTTTTCATTCAGTTCTAATACACCATCACTTTGTGATGATGGATGATACACACCAATCTGACGAACAGAATGATTTAACCACTGCCAAATAATGATATCAGATATTCGACTTGAGTTCAAGAAATATAGAGAGCCTGAGACACCACTGAAATTTGTTTTATGCAAGAGTTCCAGAAGACGCCTAGATAAGCAGACAATTAAAAATATTCAATAAAATTTATCTCACTTATAAAATATTGTAACTCGCTCTCTATATACAGGGTGTACCGTAAATGTTGCGACAAACTTCTAGGGGAGATAGGGCACATCATAAAGATTACGAATCGCATAGGAACCCATAACCGGAAATGTCAGAGGTAAGTGGCAGCAGAAGTAGAAGATGGGAAAAGAAACAAGAGTGATTAATTTGAAGCATTTATTGGACATGAATACAAATGGTACACAACAGCTTAAATGTTACAGCAGATGCTCGAAGTTTGCATCATGCCCTACCATGTTTGGTGTCTGAAGTTTACACCATCAGACGCCAAACATGCCTGACACCGACGGACCATTTATTGCCGGACATGTTCAACCACACCAGTAGCTTCTTTGATTGTAGCAGCAGGAGTCTTGCCACAAGATACATTTCAGACACAACAGGATTGTAATGCATGACACTTTTGATGCCTTCCCACAAAAAGAAGTCAAGACTCTATAAATCAGGTGAGCGTGGGGGCTAGGGGACTGGTTCACCATGCTCAATCCATCATTGCGGGAATGATCTGTTCAAATGGTGATGAACATCCAGTCCAAAATGAGCAGGAGCCCCATCATGCTTGGTGGTACATCATCAAGCAAATCAGGAAGAACCTACTCCGGAAAGATAAAATAATTTGAGGCATTCAAATGGTCCGTCGGTGTCAGGCTTGCTTGGCGTCTGATGGTACAAACTTCGAGCATCTGTTGTAAAATTCAAGCTGTCATACACCATTTGTATTCATGTCCAATAAATGTTTCAAATGAATCACTCTTGCTTCTTTTCCCATCTTCTACTCCAGCTACCACTTACCCCTGACATGTCCAGGTTATAGGTTTCTATGCAATCCTTAATCCTTATGATGTGCTCTACCTCTCCTATAAGTTTGTCACTGCATTTACGGTACACCCAGTATGTATGTATATATATACGTATATATTACTATACATTTATGCAAGCAATTTGTATTTTATTTTTAGTCCAAAGGGTCTCTGTCCCTGAAGGACTATTGTTTTTGTTTTGCGATTTTGTACTTTAAAGGTTGTATCACTTTTCAAATCGTTGCCACCAAATATCGCCCTGTATTACATTTGAAGAAATTAAATAATGAAGAATCTGCATAAATGTATGTATGTTTCTCGCATTGCGATAAAGCAATGGTACCTAGAGCGATTCCAATTTTGAATGACGTAATCCTACTGCAAATATGGACACCTCAAAGCCCTTGGAATTTGTTTTATTATCGATTTCATATTTTGTAAAACTTTAACGAATGTTTGAATAACAAACTCAACAATTTAAAAGTGAGCAATGGCAACACACTATGGGGGATGAATCTTTTTATCTCCAGCGTGCGGCAGAACTGTGTATCAGAAATTCTAAAGATATGCTCATTTTAAAATTATTTTGCGACGTTGCTGTTGAACTGAATTTTATGATTTAAGTGCAAAGAACATGATATTTAATAAATAAAGGTAAGACACAAAACATAAAAAAAAAAAAAAAAAGCCCCTCTGGACGTAATTTAAAACCGGAAGCCTTTCAGATATTTTTTTTTCTGTGTGTTTTTTCTTGTTTTTTCTTTTGTTCATTTGTATAATGGTTTTATATTGTATATCACTTACTTCTGAAAGCGCTGATGATTGAACTATAAGAAGCTGAATTGTAAACAGGTCCGTAAAGACCTAAAAATATATCAGAGCTTCATATTAATCAGAAAATGGTTTAAAGACACAGCTGATATATGCCAAACCAGGTCAAGGTCAAAAACATGCCACAACAGACTTTTATTTGGCAATGACTGCTGTGGCGACTCTGTAAACATGTGTTGTTCTTGCCAACCACGCGCCGTTATCACTAACTGTAACCGAAGGTGATTTCGGCGACACACAGTCACGTCTCGTTATCGGTGCGGTTGGTCGCTCGCTTTCCTTCAACGTGATTGTCTGTCGACTGTAGTAATTAAGTTTTAATATTGTGATGTGATTAAATGTTTTTGTTATCAAAATTTGGCTCTTATGGCATGTTATGAATTCATCCTTAAAGCACTGGCAAATTCCAATACGCATAGTTTGTTGTTGCACACAGCCGCAACCACGTGCAACAAATGGTGACTTCAGGACGGTGAGGCTTAAGCCAAATGAATCATCGCAATTTATAGCACAGCATAAATTTTGTGCTTAAACAAGACCTTGTAATAATGTGCGAAATGCAGCTGAACAAAATTTTTTACTTATGTGTATTGGATTACTTATCGTGCATCAGTTTCATCATATTACAGCCACGTGGATTACCTTCATGTTCCATTTGTGATCATCTTTCAGACATGCAAAGTACCTTCATCTTCCATTAGTGATAGTGTTCCAACATCAAGCGAGTGGATAATTTCTGTACATCAAGGTGATATTTTTTACCTTTTATTCCGCACATGGATTCGTATGTATTCGTAAAGCGGGTGAGTTTTTTCCTATATTTCTCATGTTCTAGATTATCAGAACCCAGGTCCTAACATTAATTATTTTGTGTTTCTTCACGTGTACTGCAACAGTATTCTTGAACTATATCGTTTTTTTTTTTTTGTTATCTGTATTTATTCATATTTGTTATGGCTACTAGCGATCCTCTAGCCACCGATGACAAACAAATGGCTCGCATTGCTGTGAAACCTGCCCCATTTTGCCGTAGTGACCCCAACCTTTGGTGTTTTTCAATTAGATGCATAATTCAAGCTTGGGGGTATAACACGCGACAACACAAAATTTTATACTGCAATTTCCGCCCGTGCATTAGTCGATTGTTCGTAACAGATAAACCATCAGGCAGACGTTTTCTTGTTGATACAGGTGCTGACATTTCGGTTGTACCTCCCTCTTTTGCCGAATCCAAACGGCCGCCTGGAAAATTTAACTTATTTGCAGCTAACGGGTCAAAAATTGCACATATGGAGAAATATTAATGTCTTTGGATCTAGGATTGCGTCGCAAATTTCAATGGCCATTTGTCATTGCTGCAGTTTCGCACCCAATAATTGGTGCAGACTTTCTGCAAAAATTTTCTCTGTTGGTCGACATTAAAAATCGACGCTTACTCGACTTCATCACACAATTGTCCGTGGCAGGTAGCATTGGAAATGCCACTAATTTTGGAATTAAATTAATTTCCAGTAATTCTCCTTTCCACAAACTACTTGAGCAATACCTTAACGTCATCCGCTCAGTAACTGGCAAACCGACTGCTGACTACGGTATTGTACACGTCATAGAGACTACTGGATCACCAATCTTTGCCAAAGCACGGCGGTTGCCTCCAGAGAAATTAAAGGCTGCAAAAGAAGAATTTAAATACATGCTTGAGCAAGGAATCTGTCGGCCATCTAAAAGTTCATGGGCCAGTCCACTCCACATGGTCCCTAAGAAAAACGGCGACTGGCGTCCTTGTGGGGATTATCGACGTCTTAATTCAGTTACTTTGCCTGATAGATATCCGGTTCCTCATATTCAGGACTGCATGCAAGTCTTGGAAGGCAAAAATATTTTTTCTACGTTAGATTTGACTCGTGCTTACCATCAGATCCCTGTCAATCCACCTGATATACCCAAAACTGCTGTAATAACACCTTTTGGATTATTCAAATTTCCTGTCATGACTTTTGGGTTATGTAACGCTGCGCAAACGTTCCAGCGCTTCATTAATGAAGTCCTTCGAGATTTAGATTTTTGTGTCCCATATTTCGATGACATTCTGGTAGCCTTGACAACTGAAACCCAGCACCTTGAACACCTTTGCATAGTCCTTGGCCGATTTCAGTCTTATGGTGTAGTCATTAATCCATCAAAATGCATTTTCGGGAAATCTAAAGTGTCATTTCTTGGTCACGAAGTTTTACTTCGGAGGGCGTTCGCCGCCCACTTAGTGACAGAGTCCACTGCAATTCAAATTTCCCAGAGCCAAAAAACTGTTCAGGAGCTGCGCATCGTTTTCTGGCCATGTTAAATTTTCTATCGTCGCTTTCTTCCTCATGCCGCTGAAAAGCAGGCACCTTTGCACACATATTTGGTTGGGAGTAAAAAGAAAGATACGCGGCCAATTATTTGGTCTGATGATGCCCGTACAGCCTTTGTACAATGTAAGAATGACTTAGCTTCGGCAACAGCTCTTAGCTATCCTTCTAAGCACCCTTTAGCATTAATGGTTAACGCATCTAATACGGCCATGGGTGCAGTTTTGCAGCAACTGGTAGACGGAGCATGGAAGCGTCTGCCTTTCTTCCCGAAAAAATTTTCTGCAGCGCAGTCAAAATACAGCACGTACGACCGCGAACTTCTTGGTGCATATGAAGCTGTTAAACATTTTCGTCATATGGTAGGTCATGTGTTTTCTATCTATACCGACCACAAGCCGCTAATTTTTGCTTTTCGACAAAAGCCTGCCAAGGCTTCTCCCAGGCAAATGCGTCACCTTGATTACATAGCGCAGTTTACAACCAATTTTAGGCATGTAGAAGGCCCTCAAAATACAGTTGCTGATGCTCTGTGCAGAAATGAAGAGGTTCAGTTGCCATCAACAACAGATTTCTTCGCCATTGCTGAATGCCAGAAACAGGACCCAGAATTGCAACATCTTTTGTCTGACAAGTCTTCTCATGGACTTAATTTAGTACCTATGCAGTTAGAACCAGATCTTTCACTGTACTGCGATGTGCAAGGTAATGTGGTGCGGCCATACATTCGACTGAAATTCCGGCATGGTATTTTTAGCGGCCTCCATCATGTATCCCATCCTGGCATCCATGCTTCTCGCACGTCAATTCAACAGCGTTTTGTATGGCCTGGTACGCAGAAGGACATCGCTGCATGGGCGAGGTCATGTACAGACTGTCAAAAATAAAAAATTCACAGGCACACTCAAACTCCATGTCAACGCTTTGAGTTACCATCTGCTCGCTTTAGCCACGTACATATCGATTTGGTTGGACCCTTACCCCCATCACTAGGTTATACATATCTTACGCGTGTCGACAGATACACACGTTGGCCAGAGGCTATCCCTATTGTAGATATGTTGCCGACACTGTTGCAAAAACCTTTTTTTCTGTATGGATTTCACGGTTTGGGGTACCCGAGTACGTTACCATGAACCAAGGACGGCAGTTCGAATCTCAATTATTTACTGCATTAACAAAATTCTTGGGAACTAAAAAGATCCGTACATCACCGTACCACACGAATTCCAATGGACTTGTTGAGAGGTTCCATCGCTCTCTTAAACAGGCCATTAGATGCCATTGGGTTGATATCCTTCCTACTGTGTTGTTAGGACTCAGAACGGCTATCAAAGAGGACCTGGGTTCTTCAAGTGCTGAAATGGTTTATGGTACCAATTTACGTTTACGGGGAGATTTTATAAATCCCGCAAAAAACTCACCCAATGTCCAGCCCCATGCATTCCTCAAACAATTGTGTGAAACCATGGCTGCATTATACCCTAAGATCACAAGCATACATTCTTCAAGACCTGTGTTTTTGCCTAAAGAACTCGCTATATCCTCACATGTGTTCTTACAGTGTGATGCATCAAAAAAGTCCTTGGAGCCTACCTATACAGGCCCACACCTAGTTCTAAGTCGCACATCCAAGAACTATCAGATACTAATTGGCGACAAAGAGACAGTGGTGAGCCTTGATCGTTTCAAACCAGCTTTGATCTTAGCATCACAAACTGTCGAAACTGGTACATCAGCCCCACCTCCTTCGAAGGCACCTTCATCTATTGGGTCTACACCAACATCTGCTGCTACGTCAGTTCCTGTGTCTGGATCCCAGAAAACAAGTGCTCCTCAGTATACACGTTCAGGACGTAGAGTCCGATTTAACCCTCGGTACCTTTAATTCGTTGCCACTGGAGGGGGAGCACTGTGGCGACTCTGTAAACATGTGTTGTTCTCGCCAACCGTGCACCATTATCACTAACTGTAACCGAAGGTGATTTCGGCGACACACAGACACGTCTCGTCGTCGGTGCGGTTGGTCGCTCGCTTTCCTTCAACGTGATTGTCTGTCGACTGTAGTAATTAAGTTTTAATATTGTGATGTGATTAAATGTTTTTGTTATCAAAAATTGGCTCTTATGGCATGTTATGAATTCATCCTTAAAAGCACTGGCAAATTCCAATACGCATAGTTTGTTGTTGCACACAGCCGCAACCATGTGCAACACTGCTAAAAGAAATAGATAACTGACATCAGTCCAGATTGCAAAGGAACTTTAGCTAAAATACTTAACTTTCCAGTTATACCATAGATGATAGGCTGCATAAATGAAAACTGCATGCAAGAAAACCCATGAATTATGTCCTACTGACTTGGGCTACAAAATGTGCCGGTTACAATGACACAGAGATCTTTGTGGTTTAAGTACATCATACTGGAACCAAGTCCTCTTCACTGGTGAGTCTTGCTTTTACTTGGAGAATGATTTTAGATGCTATAATCTGAAGGGAACAAAATATATGCAACAAGCTATGAAAGGCATCAGTAGAAAGGTTGCAAAATCATGCTTTGGATGGGCATCGTTTGAATGGTCACATTAACCTACACATTTTGACTAGTACTATTAATGCTGAAATATACAGAGATGAGGTTATTGATACTTATTTCAAATTGCTTAATAACCTCCTGTTATTGGACAATAATGCTCTTCCCTAGAATACTGCACTAGTGGCCAATTATTGAGAGAGAGGAAGGAATCCAGCAGATGGAGTGACTTCTTAGTCCAGCATATGGAGTTCCAGCATATTCTCTGGATTTAGACAGAATGTGTGTGGGGCATACTAAAATGGCGAATCGCATCACAGTAGCCCCCATCTAGCTTTATTCAGGAACTTTAAGGTGTTATTCATTGTGAATATACTTTGTTACCACAGAAAATGCTGTAATTTTCTATGCTGTTCTAATGCACAACATAGAAAATCACTGAAAAGCTTGTATTTCTATCAGGAAAGACCATAGAACTTATTAATGCTTTCTATGCATTTCTACAAAGTTATAACCCCAACATTTTTCTATCCCACTTTGTAAAGAATCTACATTCCTGCAGTAGTGGTTTGACTCTCTCTATATATACACAAACTGCAATATCTAACACAGCAGAGTCCTGTAAATTCATCTCCTGATATTTGGACACTCTGCATAACTTGAAGACCATCTTTTTTTTAAGTCGCTATATGATTTTTACTGCTCAAGCAGAGCATTATCTTAGCAATACTATAGTGGTCTTTTAATAGCTACAGAGTGATAATTTTTAACATTGCCTATGTGTTACAAACAGTATAGTTACATTTTAATTACTACATTATTATAAATACAGTATATATTTGTATATGAATTCTGCATGTTTCTCTATTCAAAGATTTATTAAGGTACTCTATTTTTGCAAGTTTTATTCTTTTTGCTTTGTAACACTAAATCTTGTGACAGTGCAACAAATTTAGTGACAGGTTTTATTCTTTTTCAAGGCAATTTTGATCTACTCCGTTATCCATCTCAATAACGAAGTAACTAAGAAAAGTCAGGTGGGCGTTATCAGTCATCACTTGATTTCTTTCTGTTGCTAGCCATTAGCTGGCTTGTCTGCAGGTTTATGGCTGCATCCAATTATACGCTAAACAGTTCATTTTCCATACAGGTTCCAGTTTTATATTGAGGCTTAAGAGTATTGTGTTTTCTGTGAAAATGAAGATGTCAAATGAGAAGAAAAGAAAACAAATTAACATGATAATGGAAATGACACTGGATGCCTCACAGAAACTGAACACAGGAGACAATAGAAATAAAATTGCCACGGATTTACATGTTGAATGAAGTATTTTAAATAATCTGGAAAAAAAAGTCCAAGATGAAATAAAAAGGGAACAAAAATGCAGTCTTGCCATGTGAATAGAGCTCATACTAATAGGTATGTAATACTAATACTAAGGAAAGAAAAAGTATGAAAGGTGGCAAATATGAATGAAGTAGTTTTCCATCTCAGAACATACTTTCCAAGAACAGGCCTTCAAATCCTATGAAAAATCTCAAGAAGCATAGCTTGGATTTACTGTTAGTGTTAACTGCATTGACAGTTAGAAAAAGCACTGTGGCATTGTACTATCAGATGTTCACAACGAAAATTGTCTGTTAACTTCGAAAGTGCAATGCAATAAAAAATTCTACACATTAATTGATTAGGATGACAGTCTATCTGGGATACAAACACAATGATGAGTGTTTGGTCTCAGTTTCCAAATGCTGCATTCAAAAATTCCAGGGAGGGGGAATTGGTCAATTATAAATGCAAATGGAAAAATCCACAGGCATTCAAAAACAAAAAAGGGCACTAATGAGAATGAAACATTCTGCAATCTCCCTGTTTGGTTCTAGAATCGGTCAAATTCATGAAGGAATGGTTTTACTGGCAGTATGTTCCTTCAGTAGAAAAGTTTCTAAAAAAAAAAAAAAAAAAAAAAAAACTGCCAAGGAAGTTACGGAAGTAATAAGAGCCGAGTTTCGCTTTCCTAAGGCTATTTTCAATATGGCAACCAATAGATCTAAGCATTTTGGAGGCATTGAAGAAAAGATACAAATGCAAACTTCTCTCAGCTATTGTATTAGCCATGGAGGATGGAGATAAGTTGTGACATGACTGATAAATAAATAAATAAATAAGAAATGTTAGATGTAGTAGGGTGCATATCTGAAACTTGGAATGAAACCAGGCATTTAAGTCTCATTCATTACTGGAATATTTGGGAAATGAATTTCAGAAATGCACAGAAGAGACAGAAAATTGTGAAATAGTAAATTTAATGAAGACACTTCCAGGCTACGAAGAAGTTACCGATGGTGATGTAGAAGAATGCATGGTTAGGATGAAAACAGAATGCTTAGAAGATGATCAAACAGGTGCACTATTGACAGAGAATGAGGATGAATCAGGAGATGACAAACGAGAGAACAAAGGAAAAGTCAAAACAATGATACACAGTGAGGAAATATTCCAATATTTGGAGATGCAAGTAACTTCTGATACAGAAATTTTGTTTCTGTGTCACCTGCATGATGAAGGTGCTCGGTTGTGAAATGACCGAGACCGAGACAGACTATCTAGGTATCACAACATTTTCTTTTAAGGAGGTCTATTAATCATTTCTCCATATTTGGATATCTAAGATATTTTTAAAACTCTTAACAGTCATTCCAGAGTATGTTCTAATTTCCAGTTACCTGTAGTGAGCTAGAGCTTTCTTTACAGTAATATGCAGTAAAATATTATTGAGCAGTGAATAACCCATCCCTTATCCTGTAAAATTTGACATTTTTGGCAACTCATCACCTTTCAAGTCCACATTAGGTCAAGTTTGAAGGGTTCTACTCTACTTTACACAACATTACACTACATATTGAATGAAATAAATACTTTACAGAACATTACACTACATAATACATTAAACTATATAATATTAACACATTACATTATATCATAAAGTATGAAAATTTTCTGTTTCAAAATAACATATTTTTATTTTCAGTATAGTACACTAAGTTCTAAAAACTTTTTAAGGAGCTGAAACTGAACCGCTAATATAATATTAACACTGAGGACCATCATGAAATTTGGATGCATATAAAAAATTTAATGTGTGCTATAAAAGAAATATCAGATCAATGAATTTGATAAATGTTTCTTAGGTTTAATGCTATATGTTAACAGATGTAATAAAACATTCTTTCAATACTTCACATCAAAGCATAAAATAGTTTACATTAGCCATATGTTAAATAGACCAAATTTTTTCTTTTGAAAATCATAGCTCATTTTCTATATGTAAATTAAAAAATAAAACTCTGCAGTGGGAATAAACATACTTAGAAGTTCTGCTGCTATGAAGTGTTGCTACGTGTGAATTATTTTCTTTAAGCAAAGCATCTAAAGCCATAGCATATACCCATACAGCATCATATGTATATCCACCGTAACGACTGACTTCCAACCCCTAAAACATAATGATAATAATTGTAGAACACACATACAAAATGAATAAGTTTTTAGACTTTGAAGTAACATGGAATTCTTGCTGAAACTAAATTGCAAATATGGAAAATAAAAATATAGCATAATAATAATAAAAAGAAAGAAACCACACAGATACATTTGATATTTTTTTTAAGTTTAAAACAAACAAATATTTTATTTTTTCAGCTTTTCATAAACAGTTCTAACTTGTGATTCTTCAATTTCAGCTGCCAGTATATTAGGTTTTTTCCCCCCCTTTTTTTCAGAAATAAATATGTGAAAAGGAAATAAAGTTAGTACAAAATAAACAACAAAACTAACCTGTTCATCTACCATTTTTTTGTATCTGTCTAGCCATTCTCTAACTGTTTTCCCTTCCTGCATGACATCATCATCATCAGCATAATATTTATAAGCGAGGCTCATGTGGCCATTAATGGCTTCAACCATCTGTTCCGTTGAACATGTCACTTTTCCCAAGTCATCATTTTCTGGATTGTTCAGCCCATCTGTATCATACCAGTTAGATGTAAACCATAAAGGAAGAAACCATACATATCCATTAACTGCAGTCATACCCTAAAAACAAAATGTAACTTATTATTATACAATACATACAACATTCTGAAGAGAAATATGGATCTTTGGTATTTTTCTGTGCAATTTTAGGTATTCCTTTACTGTACAAGCTCTAAATCAATAAAAAGTAGACAATTTTATATGCTTAAAATCATGGAGAGTAAATGAAACAATTTCTTATTTTATGTGCACACTTATAACCCCAAAATTTAAATTAAATATTATTTGTAAAAAATTTAGCAAGAACAATATAAATAAACTGCAGTTTTGTTTCAAAATCTTTCTTATGACATATTACTGAAATTTAATTTTGCACTTGGTAATGGCTGCAATGATTGGGTATAAACAACTGAACACAGAGAAAAATCTTTCAAATGAAAAGTTCAGTTAAATAGTTCTGAGTTCCTTATTGCAGTAAGAGATTAATTTTTAAAACCGAGATCATGAAGAAGGAAAATTCAAAGCTAAAATTTCAGATATTTTAGAAAATTTTCAGAAAAAGAAGCATTAAAGAAAAATTAGAACTCCATTTTGAAAAGGGTTTAGTTTTCTGAGAGGCAGATAATTTAAAATGGCACATTTGAAGGCTGTGGTTTAGAAGGGATGCACAGGGCTTTTCAAGAGAACAAAGCTCTATTTATGCTACACTTGAAAATATCCATGCAGTTGCTAACCCATAACACCACAGGAGACTGGACTTGGGATAAAATTACCAGCAGTCAATGATTCTTATCCACTTGCCAACTGATGGGCTTTTAGTTTGCTGATAAGATCACAGAAAACTTTCATTGTGAAGCAGCTTATGAGCTGCAAAAAAAATTTAAACAAATATTTAATTAGCTGTGCATCAGCACTTTTATACATTTTTAGCAGAAGAATTGAACTGTTAACAGCAGGTACAAGTGACTATGATTTGATTATAATACTGTCCAATAAATTTACAGAGTATTAATATGTTGCAATTTTCATGAAACCTTCTTTTCACATAGTGTTTTTAATCAATGTTTTTATTCTAAAACATCATTCGTTCATTAACTTCATATTCCACCTAACAATAAAATCATTGAGAAATTTTTTGGGGGTAATGCACTATTTTCTCCCTTCTTTTGTAATGCACTATTATTAAAAGGAAATGTTTAAATGAGAAATTAACTCTCAGCTGATGTTGTACCAGGTATGTAATAAATTTTAAATTATATTAATTAGATATATCATTAAAAGCCAAAAAAAGATTTTAATTACTAAGATATCGTTCATTGTTTCTAAAACAGTCAGTTTGTTAAGCAATAATATGTTTAGTAAAAATTATAAAGTTAATTTAAGAGGCCTTATGTTCTGCCAAATGGCAGCATTCTGAGAACTGATTATACAATAGGTGACATGAAAGAGAAACTAAAGACATGTTTCTTGCTAAAATGACACTTGACAAGTAGATGACATATGTATGGCAGAGTGGAGATGAAAAACCCTTATTTGAAATTTGCATTCCTATGTATAGAAACACTGCTTTCCAATATGCATATTTAATGTGCAAAATTTCTCTCAGATTTGATATCTGATTGTTCAAATCTTTCCATGCATTTCACCATTACACCAATTACTTCAAAACTATTATAGTAATATTCTATGTCTCAGTTGTGCAAAAATGAGATTAAAATGAAATTTTAAATGAAGCTTTATAAGTCTATGAAGCTATATAAGCCATCCGAGTCCAATGACCCAGAGACCTGACACCAGATCTGTTGTGATTATTTAGCAAGATAGCATTAAATCTGCTGCTTTTAATAACATTTTAAAGTAGAAATACAATTTTATTTAGTTTTAATTAGGAGTCTGCATAAATGCATCTGATATAATTAGGTGGATGGTTTATATTGCTTCCCTTAAAATTGAAAAGTTTAACATTTTGCACAGTTCAGATGAATTAAACAACATTAGCGTGCAAACTTTGATGTGACTGGTGTAATGGTGAAACTTTCAAGAAGATTTGGGCAATCAGAGATCAAGTGTAATTCGGGAGAAATTTTGCACCTTAAACCTACTTACCAAATGCCAATTTTCCCACATACAACTAAGGATATTTAAGACCTCAAAAACTTCACGTTTCCTCAAGAAAATTTCAGGAAGAAACACCAGTAAACTCTAGATTACCAGTGAGTTTCTCTAAAATCATATGAATAATAATCATACAGCAAGTAAAATTATTTAAATGTAAGCACTAAGCTTTATTTGTAAAAGAAAGGTTAACAGCACTAATCAGAATCTCCACATCAATAAACTAAATAATAATCTACATTTATTAGACAAAACTAATTGCAGTAAACTTCTTAAAGACTATATTCTAATTGTGGGATTTCATCTCCCATGACAGATGATGCCATTGAAAGATGAAAGTGAAGAAATAACAGACGATGTTGCCCTGAAACAATGACACATGAGTAAGAAGGTGCTTAACGACATAAAGATGATAAAACTTTATTACACCAAAGAACTTTTCTTTAGGGTAACAAATTTTCTGTATATATTCATGTTCATGTTTTCATCCCCACATGCAATCATTTCCTTGATGATCTCCATTAAAACTAAATTAATCTTCTTTTGGACTAGAGTTTGTGTACTCCTTGTAACCAAAAATTGTTCAGCCGTTTTACGAAGTTCTACAAAGAGGAGATATTCACATACTTAGCCAAGATAAGTCTTGGAGAAGGAGATTTATAAGGCATTAAAGACCACGGCATTGGAATGAGTAAGCTCTTATTTGCATGCTTGTAAAAATTACTTGTGAATACTGCAATAGTGAATACTGTTAATCAGGATGAAAATGCTTAATTATATTCCTAAAATTCCTGATTCTTAAAGATCTGGTCTCACAAAGTGTATCAAAATTTCGCATCAAATTGCATTTGGAACTCAAAGTGATATAAAAAAAAAAAAAGACATCTAGATTATGTAATTTTTCTGGTTTTTCATCTGATTTCATTGTCACTGAAATGAAACAAAAACTACTTCAGACTTTATCTGCAAGTGATTTCTGTAAGTAATTTTCTATATTTCAACTATGAGTCAAATGCTGATAAAAACTGTGATTTAGTATTTGTGATTTGAAGCTTTTGCAAACTGACTTGATGATGACGATGTTAATTCTGTTATGTCAGAATTACCATCCATAAATAATCCAGTAGATTAGAACATTATGATGCCCACTAATATTCCATTATGTGTTCATGACATTTTTGAAACTGTTTTGGAATCTAATTGAACTGATAAATATCTGGTCGTATCGCTCATTTGCAAACTAGAAGAATCTTTTAAATTATTATGGTTATCTGAATAACAAAAGATTGTGTTTATTAAAGAATTGCTTACTGGTTCTGTTAAAGTATTTATTTGGTCATTGAAAGGTATGTCATGGGACAAGTTAAAAGAAAATCTTTTGTCTGAATTTGGTTCTAAAATAAATAGCATACAACTTCATAATTTGTTATAAAAGAAACATTTAAATCCAGATGAATCCCTTTCTGAGTATTTAATTATGATGCAATTGATAGCCAATAGTGGCTTTGTTGATGATCCATCCATTCTTGATTATATAATTAATGAGATAATTAATCCAACTAGTATCAAATTATGTTGCGTGATTGTAAAACTATTTTTGAATATAAAGAGATATTAAAAATTTATGAGAAAATTCCACGTTCCAGATGCAAAGCTTAAAGGTCATTCACATACCCCCACACAAAATAAAGCATGTGTTATACCTAGTAAGAGTAAAAAACCAAGGTGTTATGTGAGTGTAGGCCATAAATCAAACTCATGTAACAATAAAAGCAAAGGATTTAAGTGATTTAAATGTAACTTATTTGGACGCAAAGCCAAAGATTGGTTTGAATATCTCCTAAAAATTATCAAGATGGCAAAACTGTTACTCCAGTTAGTAGATAGAAATGCTTAAAACTGTCAATTTAGGAAATTTGCAAATCAATGCTCTAATAGATAATAAAGTCAATGTTAACTCGAGATGTACACTGCTCAAAAAAAAAAAAAAAAAAAAAAAAAAAAAAAAAACAAGAAAACAGAAAAAAAGGAACAGTGCTATATCTCCTGTTCTACGGCCGATGACAAATTCAAACTGCGTTTTTCATGTCTCGAAAGCGCGACTTAGGATATATATTAGATTTATATATAGCACTATTCTAACATAGGTATTTTGACCAAAATTGGACTTTTTCTGAAATAACATCCAATTTTTTTCCATATTTCGATTCTACGACGCAAATCATGCAGAATACCAAATTTTGTAAAAATCGTACGTATTTTTCAAATATTAGCTCTCAAAATTTAGCTCCTCAATTAATTTAAATATCTTTTTTTATTAAACTTTTTGATTTTTTTTCACATTTCGAAATTTAGGTTCCTTCCAAATAAAATTTACCCATTTTTTTTTATTTTTTAAATTTATTTTTAAATAATTTTTATAATTTGTGGAAAAAATTTTGAATTATACCCTATAAAATTTTTACCATCATTTAAAGTAGGTATTTTTAAGCATATCTGCAAAAATTATACTTTTTTATTCAAACTTTCTAAGATATACACGAATTTACCTATTTTCGCGTTTGAAATTTGGCATCTTTTTTTTTGAGCGATAGATAACACCAAATGTGGTCTATGGATTTTTGTTACAGTGAATTGCCACAGCTATTTTGAACCTTAAATTTCAAGTAAAATTTTACGGAGAATTAATTACATGATTTTTTTCCCTCAATGATGCGTAATAAATATTTATTAATACTATATGAAAAGCTATTTTTCTTTAATTTATAGATGATATTATTCAAATTTTTAACTATTTTTTAAAATTTCTCCCTATCTTCCTTTTTTTTTTTAAAAAAAATAAGAGTAAATTTTTACCTCGGCGTTTTATTACGTCTGCTACTTTACTTCGTTTAAATCGAATTGTCTAAAACTGAGAATTTTCGTTTGATGTTTATTTGAAT